TATATATATATATATATATATATATATATATATATATATATAATAGATAAATAACTATCACACATACTTCAAAAATTAAATTCATAGATAACAACTAATAGCATCGATGTCCACCATTACCACATGTGTTTGAGTTTGGTAAAACTGATACACATTTTCTTGTGCAAGAGACACTTAACCCAAGTGAGAGACATCCAACTAGATAATTCATGGTCAAACTAGATGAAATGTGGTGTGATTGTAGCAAATTTTAAAATTACACTTCTTTTGCTCACATATCATTGTTGCTTGAAAACATGCCTACCATGATTAAACGCCATACACTCATCTTGTTCACAAGTTGAAATATATCTCCAATATGTGAAAATGATTGTTTTGAGAGTTGTACAATAAACAATATTGGTCATAATATTATGAACCACAAAATCTCACTCTAAACATGAAAAGAACTAAAAAAAGGTTGTTTAAAATTATCAAGTATACACATTGAAATGGATGAGGTAACATGGTCAACGGAAAAGATATTCCATGTGTACAAATCTAGGTCATACAAAAAAAATTCTTATCGTGCGAAAACTCTCGAGCAACAAGTAATTTCTACAAAATGTTCCATTATTGTACCTTTCATTTTGTTCTTCATGTTATTTTGGTTTAAAGTCTATTAGATCAAAGGACGATCTTGGATCCCTCAATAACATGAGTTTTAATATTAAAAATCTTAAATGTTTTTGATAAAGAAATATTTTTCAAACTATATAAAAAAGAAAAATTAGAAAGATGATTAGCTATGATGACGTGTAAATTTTCAAATGAACTACTTTGTCTGTTTAAGATAAATGCATTAAATATATCATTTACGATTTCTAATAATCAAACCATATTTGTATATGATATTCTTTAACAAATCAAAAGAATAAAAACTTCTTTGGTATTTGAAAATCAAAAAGGAACGAAGATATTTTTTTTGTCAAAGAAAAGGATGAGCAAATATCTCAAAGTATGCAAAGTCTAAGATAAAGGCATTTTTGATTGACAGATGTAATGATTCCTCCCTTTTTTACTTTAAAGGTGATAAGTAGCTTCCTTGATCAGATAAAAAGTGAAAATTTTGTGAAATATATTTAATGCATCAACAAACACTTCACTTTACAAGGAAATGATAGATGAAGCAAGCCCGTGAGAGAAGCTCAAGGATTTGCAACAGTTATCTTCACCAAGCACTTTTATAAAGAAGCTTGAAGATTCAAAATGAAAAGACACAGACATACAATAAAATCTTCTTTGTAAATTCATTATGTAATATTCTTTATACTTAATTGTTATTGTATTACATCTTATGAGTAAAATGAAACAACTATGACATTATTACATTATTTTAATATTCTTTGTACTTAATTATTGTTCACTACTACAAGATGCATATTCTACATCGGTTCTCTAAAGTCATCTACATCGGTTCTAAAACTGATGTAGAATAGAGCGACGTAAAAAATGTATACATTTTTACATTGGTTTTCTTGAGAACCGATGTAGATTGCATTTTTTTTAAAAAAAATCATGCTTATTTTTAAGTTAAATACAAGTCAGTGTGCAGGACGTAAGACCCAATAAATACTGGCCATCTGAACAAAAAGGAAGATGGGATTTTGTAGCCGGAAGCTTTCCTACCCAAACTTACAGTCAACGGATACACATACAGGCAGTGAAAAAGTTGCAAAAAAGGCTCGTTTCTTGTTGTAGTGTGGAAGTCAAAAGCATGGAACTATATGTTAATCAATAATAGAGCACATTAGCAGAGGCATGGCATGTATAAAGAGAATTACTTAAAACCACAGTATCACGAAATATCTTCATTACCATAACAAAATTAAGCATTATCAACATTATTATCTTGACCAAATATTACCATATAGAAAAACTAAGCACTATCAACATTATTATCTTGACCAAATACAACATAGAATAGCAACATTCACAGATGCCTCACGAAGTGATCAACATGAGAAGTGATAATTAAGAAACATCAAGTTTCAAAAATTAGACCCTCCTTTTAAGTGGTTCAAGATTATACACAAGTATTAACACAATTTTAGTATATTCAACCCACATCATTATCAATGCATTTTGGTGTAATGATGGAAGAGTCACTTATAACAGCTAGTTACTTTGTTCTCTTAATCTACTCAACAATGATAAAACTTGTCACCTAGGTACATTACATCACAAAGTTGTTTTCATGATCATACACTAAAATACCCATTGTTATCATTATCTTACTTGCAAAGAATCTAAAGTCTAAAATATCAACCAAGAAGTCAGCTATATAGATTCACTTTTAAGACAAAATTTGTTTATAATTAAATCCTTTTAAAAGTAAATTCTACTCTAAAAAACAATTAACCCCATTGGCTAACTAAAGGCAGGCAACTCCGTCAAAAGAATTGATACTTACATCATCGGCATTAAAATCTGAAATTCCATGTTGAGTTGTTCCATTTCCTGAAACTGGAGATACTACCCTTTGGATGCTACCCTGAGGATCATCACAGCCATTACTAGGATACTTTCCAGACAGTGAATCTGCAATTCGATCCCCAGGGTCAACAGAATCATTAGTAATACTACCACTTTCTGACATGTTTTCCAAATTCGCTTGGGAAATCTGGTGCTTTCAATTTCCAGCCTCAAAACACCTTTGACAGGTTTGTGCACCTTACGTTTAGGATCCTACACATTTTTCAAGAAATATCAGCCATAAAGAAAAAATTAGTGTGAGACAGTAATTTTTTAATCATAATAGTCATATAAATTTTCCTTCTAAGAAAAGAGAAATGCATAATTATAAAAGCAAGATCAAAGTGTTAATTTTCTGAAGCTGCAATTTCAACAAAGAAATTCTGGCACAGTAATTACTTTATTCAGATAGTAAAGAAATTTCTCAGGAGTTGGAATAGATTATACATAAGGTTAGCATCATTAATTTACAAGGGAAAGGTAATAAAAAGTAAAAAAGAACAACTAGGCAAATTGTAACTGCTATAATCTTCTTTAATCTACTATTACGAATCCCAAGTACATAAAGAGCTTATTTGCCTATATTCATGATCACAATTTAAGACAGGTGTATCACAAGAAGCAAAGAAAAAAAGGAACACATTCTCAAGCACGTTATTGTCAACAGCTACACACTCGTGGTTGTTCGCAGATAAGTAAATAAATTGCACTTTCAATAAGCACAAATGCCTTTTTCACAGAAGCTTCTTAAAAGTAGAAAAAAGCATAACAGAAAATTGCATCTTTTGTCACCATGTCCGTTTTGCATACCTAATTAATGCAGCTAAATATTTTGGTACTCATTAATTGACATAAGTTTAAGCTATGTGAAACGTACATGAAAGATAAACACACATCCTCATATTTGCATCCAAAATAAACTTTGCACTGCACTGTGCAAAATTTCACTAATTCGATTGAGAAGTGAGTTGCCATTGGAATGGAAGCTTATAAATCCCAATTCTACTATTCTAAAAAAATTTCCCAATAATATATCAAATAAATTTAAGTAAATCAATCTTGATCATCCATGTAAGAATGAATGGTCAAGAATACATGTGGATTGCTTGAAAATGTCATATATATTGGGAGTAACTTCCTGAAGCAATAGCGGTCCACACTAGACAAAGCCACATATATTCAAAACCGTAACAAAGAAGAAAGAGTAAAACCTGGAAACAAATTAAATAAGGAGAATGCAATTGAACAAGGTCGCCAATAGCCTTCATCCTCTTGTGCAACTCCAAGTCTTCCCGGAACCAAACATTGTAACTCAATATCTTAAACGAACTAAAATCTTTTTCTGAATCAGTATCCTCTACCATGTATTAAAGTTGTTCATAAAAAAAAAAAAAACAATGTAGAAATTATAAAAATAACCGATAAAAGGCATAGAATGATAGAAACACACTCTCTCACCATCACCGGTGATATCGGTAGCCTTTTGGGATAGCTTGAGCTTCAGATTCACCCTCTCAGAAGAATCATGGTCGTTGATGGTCTTTCTCTTGTTGCAGGGTCGAAGAGGGAAGAAAACAGAGCCAACAGAAGAATCGTGTTCAGTAGCGTCGTCCAAGTCTTTGAGATTGGAGAGGCAGCGAGTGCCGCAAACCTGGCAAGAGGGGTTGTTGTAAGGGTTTAAGAAAGTGCAGGCCTTGCACGACCATTTTGGGGACGACGAAGACGGAGATGAAGAAGAAGGACCCGGATCATGGAAGTGATGGAAGAGTGGGCCATGTGGTTGGGGTGAGAGGAGAGGAGGAGGTGGTGGAGGTGGTGGAGTTGGCGGTGCATGTTGGCGCCGGCGAGGATGCGTGTTGTGATAGTAACAAGTTGGTGAGTGTGAGTGAAAGAGGAGGAGGAAGGGGAAGATAGAAGGCGGCGCTTCACCAGATGAAGAGAAGAGGGTTCGCTCTCTGTCGTTGCTCGCGGCAGCTGGGACGTTGCTGAGTGAAAGGGTATGCTTTAACCCATATGAGAGTCTCATTTCTATATCAGTCATAAGCAAAACCGATGTAGAATAACTTCTTGATTCCATTTCTACATTGGTTAATCATAAAATCAACGTAGAATTGCTTATATTTACATCGTTTCTCCACCCAATCGATGTAAATATGTTTGCATTTTTTATTTATTTACAAGTTTGCCACCACGTTTATGATTTACATCGATTCTACTAAAATCGATGTAAATATAGCGATGTTAAACAGTGTTTTTGTAGTAGTGGTTATACTTAATTATTTGTAACACCCTTTAAATATATGATGTTTTAATGGCTTCACTCGACTACACTTCACACGGTGAAAATTCATACAACTCCTCGTTAGTCAGAACATTTCATCAGTTAAAACTCTCTGTGGGTAGTCCTTTATGAGATGTATGTACACTTTTAGGATCAACGATTGACCTCGAAAAACAACACAAGACTTTTCAGCGTGTTTTGTCATCACTCGCGATTTTTGAGAAATTTCCTAAAAGATCACCCATCCCTAAATTGCTTACATATACTAACAAAAGCATCAAAGTCGCAAAGGGGGGCAAAGTGAGGAACGCACAACATAGAGAGGAGGAAGTAAGGAATGCACAAAAAGAATATTAAGTTTTCAACTTTTCACATTTACATATAGAAAATTAGCAATGTTGTTTTAACATGCAAGGAATAAAATGCACAACAATAGCATTATTGTTCTTACATGGGCTACCCGTAGGGTTTGCGGGCTAAGTCTATGAAGTCTACAAACTTTGGGGTCGGACTAGAAACTTTGTTATAGTTATATGAATTTTAAAAATTGGGTCTATATTTGCACGGACCGCGGGCTAAATGGACCAGTTCGCGAGCTTAAGTCCATATACCCATCCCTACTCATACTTGTACAAATCTCTAGATTCTTTTCATTCCAATGTATTCAAGTTGTTACAAACATGCTTGAAGATTCAAAGTGAAGAGACACAAACATACAAGAAAACATTCTTTTTAAATTCATTCAGTAATATTCTCTATACTTAATTGTTGTTGTATCATGTATTGTGAATAAAACAAAACAATTATAATTTTTCAACTTTAACTTTGTATTATAACTTGAAATCTGAAAAAAAAAATTGTTATAAATAATATTTGGTTATTGAAGTTGAAGAGACTTTATTATTTAAAGAATATTTATTGTTGAAATTTAGAGAAACTTCATTGGTTAAAAAATTATTACAATAAAAAAGAATCTATATATGTGTGGATTAAGTCATAATTTTACATAATATGCTTGACATTATATAATTATTTAAACCTTTTTGACACGTGATTATGTTGTATTTAAAATATAATATGTCAATTGATTATTGGCTTAATTCACCAATTTATGTGAACAAAGTATTGCCAATATGAATCTCTCCCAAAGACAAGCAACGGGAGGAAAGTATCGTATTAAAATACTTTTGGAGGGTAAAGTCCATCATGTTCCCGATGCAACACCCATTGCTTTTTACTTTGCCCCATATATTGATGTACACCAACTTAATGATTGTTTGATTGTTTTGAAGCTGAATAAATTTAATTTAAAATTGTTAAAATGTGATTAAAACTTGCTTTTAAACTAAATTCAAGCGTAAGTTTTGTATTAAAATCTGTGCTCAGTGTGAGAAATCGATTGGTAGTGTAAAATGTAAGAGGCCTTAATTGCAACACTGTCCAGTGGAATACAAACATTGTAAGAATGATACTTTCTCGTACAAAGTTGATTCCATTTTGTTTTTTCGGTGAATAGGGCAAGAAACAAAACAAAGAGAAAAAGACGTACTAATTAAGTTTATTGTTCTTTGTTCAATTAAAATGCATGAGAAACAAAAAAGAAAAAAGAAAAACAAGAACTGCCAAAAAAAAAAAGTCCATCACCAGCTACATGCAATAATCTGTCAGCAATTATAACTATCCAAATGCAATAATCCATTCATAAAAATTTCTTCTCGTCCACGAAAAATTCCATGTTTAAACTTGATTTATGAATATAGCTTCCAAGGGATGTTATGGAGTAATATGATCACTAATAAAATATAACCACAGATATTTTCATTATGCATGAATGACAAAAATGTTTGATCACAAACCTATAATTGACATTGAGGAAAGAAAGGTAAAATATTTTTAATGTAATGTAAATTATATTATCATCTTAACTTATTATTTTTAAGAAAAATACTGTCAACACACATTTTTAGTAATACATTTTAAAGACAAATTCACTTTAAAGGAATTATATTCAACTATTTAACAGAAGAAAGACATTTTAGTAAAAAAAAAAAAAAAAAAAAGAAGAAGAAGAAGAAGAAGAAAAAGACATTATGATTAGGAATGAAAATTAAAGCCTATTAAGAAATAAGACATTCTAAAGAAAACAATAACCAAAACTATTATATAAGACCTGTATTATGTAAAAGTAAAATAAATAATACATAATTAACATATAAATAGTATAAATTTCTCAAATATATAATAGCTGGAAATTTACTGTCCACTTCCACAGGAAATTGAAATCTCATCTGACACTACCTTCCTGAACGTCTTTATACACAAATTATTACCATAATGATGATTATTTATAATATCAATCATATTATCAAAACTAAAAGAATAGAAAATTACTGTGCAATATCATACGAGCTAGTAAAGATGATTTTTTTCTTCAAAGAAAAATAAAGCACGACGTTAGTAACAAGTTGAAAAAAAAGCTATTTTAACTCTATAACTACTAATAAAAAAATTCACATAATTATCTATAATCTATTCCTTTTGATCTTTTATGCTAACTACTATGTACTAATCGTTAAATGCCCATAACCATAAAGTTTAGTAGCAGGATCTTCCAATAAGTACACTTCATGGCGTAGCTTTGCAATTTGTAATGTGCAGGACTGTTATTATTAAGTGCTAATGAAGCCTGGTGAAAAACTTCTCAGTTCCTCCAACAGTCATGGCCACCAATCACGTGCCACCCTCTATAATATCGTTTAGACAATGTAATTTGTTTACAAACATCATAGAAGATGTAGAACATGAAGGAAGCAAAGCCCAAAGGACATTTGAGCACAAGAATCAAATACAATATAAACAGACCATAAAACACGATCTAACAGCACCAATTATTTCTAGTCATTTTCTTCCTTCCTAGTTCCTAGTAGAGATGAGATCGCCCGTAACATTATATACATCAGAGTAAATTCACTTCCCCAACAAACAAATTATACACTACTCAAGATTTATATATAAACATAAATAATTAATTTCACAGAAAGTCTCTTAAATACATTTAATTTTCATAATTTCACATAAAATATACATGGCCACAAATCAAATGATGATTGATGAGTGTGTGTGTGTGATTGAGTTTAATCGGTTCAGTCAAACTCGCTCTTCCTTTTCGTCTCTTTAAGATGGCCCAACTAATTCAGATGGCCTTATTCCACAGTTACACTTCTCTTTTGGTTCATGATATATACACCTCCTTTTGTCTATAAGTATACCTCTTTTTTTTTTTAAATAATTAAATTTCTAAAATATTTTTAATTTTTTGTTTTTAATTTTTAATTTTACATCTACAATATTTAATTTAGTATTTTTTTTCATACATCTTCCCTCTTTCTTTTAATTTTTATATACATCCCTTTACCTTTTTTTCATCACACCTATTTTGGTAGTATGTGAAAATTAAAAAAGAATGTAAAAAAAAAAAAGAAGAAAGTAGCAAATTAAAAGTTGGAGATGTAAAATTAGAAAATTTTTACAAAAAACTACAATATTTTATAAATTAAAAAAAAATAAAGGAGGTGTACTTATAATAAAAAAAGGATGCGTATATATGATCAGCCTTCTCTTCGGGTTCCAAGGCCCAAGTTTGCAAATGGGATTACTGTTCAATTTTTCACTGCACAGGGTTTGTTTATTGCACGTGATAAAATAAGATCTCATAGTATAACTATTATGTTAACGTTTTTTTGAGTTCATACTTAGAGTTAATCACCTGTTAGCGTAAATTTTTTTTACACTATCAATCAATCATATCTTTTAATAGTATTATGTCAATTACTTATTTAATAAAATAAAAATAAAATAAAATAATTTAAAAGATTTAATTAGTCGTCAATGTAAAAAATTTTACAATAACAATATATAGATGATTAGCTCTCACACTTATTACATACTGGGGTTTTACAATATTTATTACCATCTCCATCCCCTAATTACAACGGCCTTTCAATTAAATTACATCTTTTAAAAAAATTAATTAATTTAGTAATATTAAACTTTTAATAATTTAAATTAATTTCTTAAAATTATCATTTAAATTAAATATGCCCAAGAATCAATCCCGCAATCAAAATATCTCATTAATGTCAACTCTATGCTTAGACTTATTCTTTTGGAGAGCACTCAATCAATCCAATAGACAGTTGGTCCCACTTTGTTAAATAGTAAATTACATTATTGATATCTTTTGAACTTTTGTGAATTTATGTGACTCGTATTTTTTTATATCCCTACATCAAGTCACTAATTCTTTAATTATTAAAAAATATTATTCTAACATTCCTTAAACATTATACAATATTTTAATTATTTTGAAAAATATTAATCTGTATCTACTATAAAATTGATTGCTGTAAATGTTAAAAAAACAAAACAAAATATTTACAATTTCACAAAACCTAATAGTGTGTTTGGATGGGGAATTTAAATGAAGTAATTCATTTATTTGAAGAATTTTAAATTTTTTGAGGTGAAATACCTTGTTTGAATGGAGAACTTATAAAGAATTTGAAATTCAAGCATTTGTGAAATTCCTTGAAATAGTAGAATTTCAAATTCTCCCAAAGTAAGAATTTGAAATTCCTCATATTTTTTTTCTTCATATTTCACTTATATATTTTATCTTATCTCATATTTCTTCATATTTTTAATTACTGAATATTTAAAAATATTTTTAAAATTATTAAATATTATCTCATATTAATTTTTAAAATTATTAAATATTTAAAAATTAGTTAATATTTAATTTTATAAAATTTAATTTAAGAATC